GTCTCGCTTAAAATAAGCACACTCCATTATCTTGCATAAACCTTAGCAAATTAGTGGGACCTTGCCAAGTTTTAAAGTTAAGCCACCTAATACTTTATTAATGCAGATTTAATAATTAACCACCAGACACAACATTCATTATAGAGTCTTGAGTTTATGTCTTAGCTTAATGTTCTATATTTAGAGCGTCTGTATTACTAGAATAGCCGTTTTTTTGGTCGATAATATTGTTAAAAAACTAACAAGCATTTTACATAATTTATGTGTATGCGATACACTTTTATTTGCTTTTGAAATCAATATCGTTACACTATTTAATACGTAGCTCCTGTGATTTTTATTGCTATTAAATATATTTTATTACATTTTTAAATACAAAATAAAGGTATCGAAACATTGTCGTGTATGTTTATTTGAAGTCATCGATCAAACACTACGCTTATGATTATTTTTCCGGTTTTCATCAGGAGAATTGAAAGAAAACAGTACAAGGAACGACGACAATCTTAAGCAAATGTTTTTATTTCGTTTGATCGCAATACAAGTTTTTGCTTCTTTTCGTGATATCTTTTTTGTTTGCTTTCCGTCGTTAACAGTCCATTCTGAAATGTTACGATTTGATTGATAACAAAAAAAATATGGATTGGAACAACACTATTTTATAATTTTTAACATTAATTCAGAGGTTAGCTCTCCATTAGGGTGAGCCAAAAAAACTAACCTGTGGAATTTATGGGTTAACATGAACCTAGTAACCGAGAAAAAATATACCCGGAAGGCAGGATTTTTAGCTCACTTCTAAAAGGTGTCGGTGAACATTTAAGGTTTTCAATTTAAATAACACGGAAAAAAATATTTTTCAATAATTCGTAAACATTTCATTTCATTTGAACTGAACTGATCTGAACTTAACAGTAAATTATCTTACATAAACCTTAGCAAATTAGTGGGACCTTGCCAAGTTTTAAAGTTAAGCCACCTAAAGAAGTTAATAAGTAATTAAAAAGTATTTAATTAAAGTTTATTATTCTAGGAATTCACGACGCACTATTGCCGAATCCTGTATATGAACTCTATGCCTTCAATTATTAATTTTCTGATAAACTGAATCAAATTTTAAGGATGCTATGTATTACAAAATAGAATGGATATTTTATAAGTTCACTATCGTAATTCAAAAAGGTTTAACGGGAAAATTATGTAACGCTGGAATTTAAAACTTCGCGTATAATTTCACGCCTTATACCTTATCATTTCGAGTGTTACATCTAACAGATGCCAGACCATTACCGCATGAAAGATCCAATGCAATTCTTTATTTCCTAGAGGGAATATTAAAGGTGCAACGCACGTCTTTTTGACATATATGTGTAAGATAGTTGAATGGAAAAAGGGATGTTGGAGATATATTTATGTACGAAGCGATTGCTGAACTGAACTGAACTCAACTAACTCTAACACCGTTTGGTTGAAAACTCACTTTATATTCTATTAATTGACCTTGCCAAGTTTTAAAGTTAAGCCACCTAATACTTTATTAATGCCGATTTAATAATTAACCAGACACCCACCGCACACAACATTTATTATAGAGTCTTGAGTTTGTGTCTTAGTTTGATGTTCTCTACTTAGAGCGTCTGTATTACTAGAATAGCCAGTTTTTTGGTCAATAATTGTTAAAAAATTAACAAGCGTTTTATACAATTTATGTGTACGCGATACACTTTTATTTGTTTTTGAAATTAATATCGTTAAACTATTTAACACTTAGCTCCTGTGATTTTTATTGCAATTAAATAGAATTTTTACATCTTTAAATACAAAATAAAGGTATCAAAACATTACAGTCGTGTATGTTTATTCAAGTCATCTTTGAGGCGACCCTTTGAGGTAACCGTTTTCAAATCGCTTAGCGCAATGGGTGTTTATAAGACTGTTTATAAGACTCCCTTAAATGTACGATTCGTTCAAGCGTTACCCATCCCTACTATACGTACATTCTCTATAAATATGAACTCTTCCGGAAGCCAAGTCTCACGATAGTTTTTCTTTTCACGAATGACTTGTTTAGGGAAACTAACGCTGCGGGTGTCCTTCGGCGCCTTTTGAGAACGACCTAGAGATAAAAGTAGTGAGTCGATTCCCCCACGAAGCAGCGGCAATTCGCAGATGGAACGAACACTCTGAAACCCCTGTTTAGATATAGTCGAGTGCCTTTTGCTTTTAGGCGAGCCGCGAAAATGCTATTTACGTTTTCTCTTTGAAAATGGAGATTTTTTAGTAAGTTTTGCTCTACGGGACGTTGATATAAGGAAGTTGTGCTAAAATAAAAATGTTTTTTAATTAAATATATAAAAAAAATTGGATTTTTTTAGTTAGGCAACATAGGTAATAGATTAAATTTACAAAGAAAAAAATCTTTTTTCTTTGGAAATTTTCAAAATAAAATATCTTGCTTATTTTGGACCCCTTTGAAAAACGGTAAAGAGAAATCTATACTAATATATAAAATCCCTAAGTGACTGACTCACTGATTAATCACGATCCTGCTCAAACCACTCAACGTAAGAAGCTCAATTTTGGAATACAGGTTGATTCTAGGGTGTAGATGTTCGATAAGAAGGGATTTTTCGAAATTCCAGTTCCAAGGGGGTGAAACCACCCCTCAAATATTACAATATATTTTATTTAAAAAACGGTGAGTTTTTCGGAAAAACTCTTAAACACGTATATTTTATGTTGTTGTTTTACATATTTTAAGATTTTTAAAAATTTATATAGGGTGTTTCATAAAATATGACCATTGAGTAATCACGATTCGGCTGAAACTGCTTGACGTTTAAAGCTGATTTTTCGCAAACGGATTGACTGTGGGGTGTAGAGGTTCGATAAGGAGGGGTTTCTCGAATCTCAAATTCCAAGACGATGAAAACGCCCCTCAAATATTACAATATTTGTTATTTAAAAAACGGTTAGTCTTTCGGGAAAATTTATTTTGTTTTTTTACATATTTTGATTTTTTTTTAAAAATCATACAGGGTGTTCCAAAAAGTTGGGTAATTGATTAACCACGATTCTGCTTAAACTGCTTATCATGTAATAATAATAATAGATATAATATCGCAAAATGTTTTTTTCTCATGCTGACATAAATGCGAGAAAATTTTATCCAGTTTGTATGTTAATGGAAATTCTTGCTCTGCTTTATCATCACCATTACAAATGATTAATTCGACGCGAACGAAGTCGCGAATACAGGCTAGTGAAAATATAAAATAACACCAATCACAAGCAAAACCTACATCCGCTGAATGGAGGCATGAAAAGGCAATAAATTTAATAACTGCGTAATTTTCTAACCAATCCAAGTCTTTAAATTCAACCAATAAAATTAATGTCGTATCGTCGGATAACGGATGCATGAAAATCAAGCTTTATTCGTGAGAATATTAGTTTGCTAAACCATCCGTGTATTTCCTTGGCCAACGAAATATTTGTTTTTTACTTCTGAACCGAGCAGCAGCAGCGGCAGCTTATCAGCAAATGCATTCGCCGGCGGTTCGGGGCTCGACGATAGCGGAAATTAACTCAGGTCCAGTTTTTGCCGATGTGTTTCGGCCCCGCCACTAAATCGTTCCCCAGAAGCGGCCTGCCGCGATCCTCTTGATTTATGGAGTTAGAAGCAGGTGTATTGGGCTCTATAAACGTAACCAGCGCCAGGAATTGGTTTAGTGTAAGCTCAGACTGCACTGGGAAACAGCGATAAAGAAACGGGAGTGAAGTGGTAGTCTAAAATTTTCTGTATAAATGAGAATTTATCGGGTTTTAATATTGGGAACTGTTTTAAAGGAACAGGATAATAAGGATCTTATAAATAATACTCTTAAAATAATCAAAAGGCAGGGTGGTCCGACCTGTATTCCCGAAACATATTCTGCAGATACAAACAAATAAAAAAGTTCGTATAAATGTATGTCCTAAAATGCTTAGTTTCGGAGATACAGGGTGGAGAAGTTTCATTTTTATTTCGTTTTTTTTCCAAATAATTTATAAAGTAACGTCAATATTCGGACGAAAATTAGTGTCCTAATCGAACAGTAAAGCGTAATAGACTCTTAAATACATATTTTAATAACATCACTTTTTTAAAAGGAACGTCCGACTTAAATGTTTTGAAAGCATTTTTTATTGTCGATCATTTTTTTCGTATAGCCAACGCGCAACCCTTAGGCGTTTGAAAACAAACCGTTCCTCTAATCCCCTTTTATTTGTTCTGGCATTTCGGCTATATTAATTTGACCCTTTAACTCGCAAAACCTATTTGCCTTACGTTTTGTGTAATTTATTCCAAAAATAAATTTACTAAAGAGCTTGATCTGTCAAATAAGCACAATTCATTTTTATTACCCCTATACAGAGAGCCAGCCCCTCTTGGGTATAATTTTTATAAATATTCCTGCTCTAAATTAAAAATATTCAGCAGAAAACTTATAAACCAATTGGATTCAATAATAGGCGTAATATTAAATCATTAATTTTACATAATTTATGTGTCTGCGATACACTTTTATTTTTCTTAATTATTTTTCCAAAATTTTCGATAATTATCTGATGATGATGGCAGCACAGTAAAGAAAATGTACGTCCTTAGTGACAATAATTAAGATACAAATTTAATTTTAAAATACTGTACAGGGTGTCCCATTTGAGTGTTTTATGGGGTTTCTGGTTTATGAGTAGAGATACAGAGAAGCGATATTGTTTTCAATTCACATTGCTGTACTACTTTTTTATGAAACTAAAGATACTACACACATAATTCTCATCAGAGAAAGAAAATAAAGTTTTTTCTTCCACACTCGGTGTCACTCCGCCAAGGGATAGAAGGTAATGAAAAAATAAATGATTTAGCTAGTTTTTTGGTATAAACTGTAGTTTATATGGAACAAGATTTAAAATGATGGACAAATTGTTATCAAGAAAAAAATATATATTTTTACCTCGTTGCTTTCCACGCTCTGCGACCGAGTAGCCGCCATCTTTGACGCTCTCCGGCAACTGGATTTGGGCAGCATTTCCGGTTCCGGTTCCGGTTCCGGTTCCTCGTGATCACTTAACGACGTGCCGTTGAAGAGCGTCGGCGATTGTCTGTTGTTTTCTTTGTCAAAATCTGCCTCGGCTGGACCACCGCTGTTGTGGTTGGGAGTTGTTTCTGGAACACGACACTACTGCTAACTAAATAGTTTAATTAACCGATAGCTATAAGCTAATGGTGTTTAGTTAGCGTAGTAATTTAATGGATGCATTTAGGAAGTTTACTCAACAATGAATATTATATTATACAGTGTAATAACATTGTATTAATCTAAGTACGGTAATCGCAAAACATATTCCGATGCACGTAATCAATCGTATCGAAATTGACACTAAAGTTTTTTGGCCAAAACTGTTTAAATTTGTTGCATAATTTAAGATACCGAACAGCTCTTCATTTTACTTTATAGAGCAAATGATTGTAACAGATATTTTATTTAGATTAAAGCTGCAAAAATTAGATTAAACCGAATTTTATTATAACTATATTGGTCACATTACGCCGTGTTCAGCAATGTTATTGTCGTTTATTATTTGACAATTATTATCATAAAATCAGTCATTATTTTGTATAATATCGTGTTGTTGTTGAATCTTTGTGAGTAATTCCCGTTTTTTGCCTATTTTCATAGTTTTTTTAAGAATTGTACTTTTAAGCACATACAGTTCTTTTAAGAAATAAATTCTCGAGTTTTTGTATTGCATTTCTTGAAATTGTGTGTTGAAAATATGCCGAAGCATAAACAGTCGAATTAAAGAGCTTGTAGTTTCCCGGTTTTTTTTGGCTATTTTGGACGAGAACGTGTTAATAAAGGTCCTTTATTACCCTTGACTTATTACCCTTATACCACTTTCAAAGTTATTTCTACGTTAGTTTTTAGTAAATTCTGGGATTATCAGTTTGTGCATTAATAGCACCAAACCACTTGTGGTGTTGTAACTTGTGGCATCAATCAATAAATAAATAACCCATAATAACGCTTAGAATAATCTTCATAATGAACTGGTTTTTACCAATATTGTAAAATAGTTAAAAATAAGCTATAAAACAAATAAATCAATTAATTACTAAAATATTAATTATTAAATAAAATAAAATATAAAAAAAACGTTAATTTTAATTAATAATTATATCTATTCGAGTCCTATTTACTAGTTCGATTCCCAAATAATTTCGCATTATATCTTTTAATGAATTTCGATAAACTATTGTTATTATTTGTGTATTTTTCCTTCGTACCAGCAATTATTTCACTAATTAAATTTATCCAACATATAGAAAATTTATTTAATTAGCAATTATATTTGTTGGACTTTTGCCATTTTCTAGCTAAAAAGTTTATTTCACATGATACGGTATTATCGATTTTTTGTTAACTGTATGGGATATGTTTTATAATTATCCTGCTTTAGTCTTTATAATATGTAAAATATTTTAATTAAAATTTTGTACTTTGCTATTAAAACTTAATATATGGAATAATTAGGGTTTTAATAGCTTCTCTGATACAATGTGGTCGATAAAGTTGACATAATTAATGTACTAAATTAAAATATTCAAATGCAACTATTCGGGAACACTTTAGTTTTTTAAAACAGATACGTCTTGACCAAAAACCGTTGACGTTCTGTTAAAATGACAATATATCAAGTTAAACATCAAAATTAACAATTACTACCTGGTAACAATTACTTAATAAGGTAAAACCAAAAAGCTTTAAAACTTTCTGTATGAGTATTTTTAATTTGTTTTTAATTTTTACCTATGTTATGTTTATATTATGTTCTTTAAAATCAAAGAAGCGATTGCCATACATTACTAACATCTACAGATGCATGAGTACTACATTTATTTTTATTAGATTGTATTAAAAAAGCCTTTTTTATTTTTCTTTTAGAGGCTATCGCTTATTTCATTATAATTTTGGCGGTATTCAAATTTATTTTGCGCCCTGTGTCCCATAAATGCTGACAAATCTTAGATTTGTGAAAATCTCCCTTTCTTAAATAATCTTTATGTTCATTAATTCGAACTTATTACTTCCTGGACACAAACGGTACATTGTGAGACAGGAAATTGTAGAAAGAAACAAGCCCTATAACATCGGATACAACATTTTAATGAACAGTGCTTTCCATAAAATCAATAAAATGAAAAATATACGAAATAATATACATGTTCTGATTTCTTTCGAAAATCGACATCTATGAAACTATGAACCCTTCCCGGACACAAACGGTACATTGTGAGACAGGAAATTGTAGAGAGAAACAAGCCCTATAACATAGGATACAACATTTTAATTAACAGTGCTTTCCATAAAATCAATAAAATGAAAAATATACGAAATAATATACATGTTCTGATTTCTTTCGAAAATCGACATCTATGAAACTATGAGCCCTTCCTGGACACAAACGGTACAATGTGAGACAGGAAATTGTAGAGAGAAACAAGCCCTATAACATTTTAATGAACAGTGCTTTCCATAAAATCAATAAAATGAAAAATATACGAAATAAAATAAATGTACTGATTTCTTTCGAAAATCGACAACTATGAAAATATGAACCCTTCCTGGACACAAACGGTACATTGTGAGACAGGAAATTGTAGAGAGAAACAAGTCCTATAACATAGGATACAACATTTTAATGAACAGTGCTTTCCATAAAATCAATAAAATGAAAAATATACGAAATAATATACATGTTCTGATTTCTTTCGAAAATCGACATCTATGAAACTATGAACCCTTCCTGGACACCAACGGTACATTGTGAGACAGGAAATTAGAGAGAAACAAGAAACAAGCCCTATAACATTTTAATGAACAGTGCTTTCCATAAAATCAATAAAATGAAAAATATACGAAATAATATACATGTTCTGATTTCTTTCGAAAATCGACATCTATGAAACTATGAACCCTTCCCGGACACAAACGGTACATTGTGAGACAGGAAATTATAGAGAGAAACAAGCCCTATAACATTTTAATGAACAGTGCTTTCCATAAAATCAATAAAATGAAAAATATACGAAATAAAATAAATGTACTGATTTCCTTCGAAAATCGACAACTATGAAAATATGAACCCTTCCTGGACACAAACGGTACATTGTGAGACAGGAAATTGTAGAGAGAAACAAGCCCTATAACATAGGATACACTGTATGATGAGTTATACCTCAATAGATCTTTAAGGTTGCAGTGATTAACCCCCCCCCCCTCGCACTCATTTTACAGTAAAGGTCGATTTATAATTTGAAAACGGTGCGGTTCGACGTTGCGGTTGCGATTATTTCTATTGGCTATTACTAACGTTTCAAAGTCAACGTTCCTGTCGAAGTTAAAAATTGGTTAATTTTTGACGTAAAACGTCAACCGCAACAACAACCGAAAAATTTCTAATCAACAAAACATCCTGGGCATAAATAAACTTTTTACCGACCGTAACGTCGGGCGTCGAACCGCAACGTTTTCAGTTTATAAATCGACCTTAAGAGATGCGGTAGGTTTAGAGATTTTTAGTATTCTAAAAATAAATCCCCTGAGTATTGCCAACTTTTTCAATTATTTTTTATTGCTCCGTAAAATTACAAAAATAGCTACATTAACATTCGAATTTCATCCATATCGTTTTAACTGAAATTAAATGGAAGTGTACCACTTTATTCTCTAACTATAAACCGCGTTCGTCGACGAGCAGGCACTGGTAAATATATCTAATTTTGAGATCGATTCCATTACTTCAGCACGAAAAGATCAGCCTGCATGCAATAGAAAAAAAAAACGGAAACGTTCCGTGCGTGATAGTAATATAAAGTATGTGTTAGCACCGGTGTTTAAAGTAAAAAATACCCCGGCACACACTGAACTTTACGTTACCACTCTGCCATTTTAAGTTACCGGGGAAAATTGAAATAAAATCCTTTCTTTGCTGAATTTGTGCGCCAGAAAAAGCATTTAATTGAAAAAAAAACGAAACACGGTTTAATGTTTTATAGTATGAAATAGTTTGGGGATTTATTATATGTTGATGTTAGTTACCTTGATTTGCTTCATTGTCCACAAATTCGGTATCTTTGTTCCGGCATTCCGGCATAGAATGGTGCGCCACTGATATGTCCCTGCACGCCTCTGTCACTGGTTGAATGGTGGTCACGGCTTCCACCGATCTAGATTTTCCTGCGAAGAAGTAAAAATAAATATACTTCTTTATCATTTTGGAATTGGCACAATCTGAATCAGTGGCGGAGTAAAGTCGGGGGCCCGGGGCGGCAAAGCTAAATGTGGCCCCCGGTCTGCACATTTTGTAAAGATTGAATGACGTATGAATAATGGTTGACAAATTTCAAGTATTTATATACTGTAATAATTGTAATAAAAATCGATATATATACAGGGTGTCACAGAAATAAGTATTTTAAGGGATGGTAGATAAAAGAAACATATTTTTTCTTTATCGTTTTTCAAATAAGTCCAAAATAACGGAGTTATTTTACTTCGAAAATTTGCTAAAATTTTGAGAACCACTGGATTTTTTCTGGATTTTCTTTCTTCTATATTTAATCTAATACCTATGTTGTCATATTAACAAGAAATTATGTTTTTTAACTAAAAACTAAAAAAATTCACAAATAATTTTTCAAAAATTTTTTTGGGAAGTTTTCAATTTTTTTTCGCGAAAAAAACCTCATGTGCGTGTTTCTGGTGTTAAACTATACTACCAGTGAAAATACTAGCATTTATTTCTGGGACACCCAGAGGAAAAGACAGACACAGATTACAAAAGGAAAAACTTTTTAATTATTGACTTTTTGAAAAAAATACGTTCTTTATAAGAATTTGTGCTTGTTGTAAAATGGCGTTTATAATTTTCTAAATATCCATACCGTTTTCGAAAAAATAAAAAAAACATAAAAATGTAGTTTTTTAACGTAATTTTTCCCCCAAAAAAATCCTAAAAAAACTAAAAGTCCTAAAAATTAAAAGGCTATGATAATATAATTTCGATTTAATTTTTTGATAAATCGTTATAATTAATTTTGATTAACGTCATATTTTTTGATGTTAAAATATCACATTTTCCGATAGCTATTATCACCCTTTCCGTAGCATTGAACTAAATAAATGTTATGCTTCTTTACCATTTTAAAACAGCAAAAAATATAACTTTAATTAAAATTCTGTCAATAATAATTTATCAAAAAATGAGAACGACATTATATTACCATAGAAAGGCGTTTTATTTTTACTAGTTCAAAAATTCAACTACGTTTTCATGTTTTTTTTTTATTTTTCTCTAAAACTCGTACTAAAATATTTCTGAACTAGAGGTTCAAAATACCTAATTGTTATTATTATTTTCTAGTTTTCAGTGCACATAAGATAAAACCGTTTAACTTAAAAGTTTTTTTACCGATTTTTTATTTTTGTTTGTTGTTTTATTTCTTGTTTCCATGTTGTTCCCACGAAACGCTTGCGACATTACATTTTTAGCCACCCTAATGCCATACAGTCCTCAGCACGTTTTAACCTATTACCTTAACTTGGGTGGTAAAGCTACCGCTAACTACGTAGGTACATCTAATTACCTATTTTTTTTATCTGTCCTTCTAACGTCACACAATCTTGGACACAACTATTCTGGACACGACTACTCATGCCCTCACCTAATACGCCATTTTGTAACGACGTCCATCTTGGATTTTAAATTTTGTCATAATCACAGTATTCTACTAGTGTAGCCCTTTCATTTGATACCCATATTGAGGGGTTGTGGAAAATATGAAATCCGCCATTTTGTACCGGCGGCCATCTTAGATTTACAATGTTATTGATATTACTATATTGTATTGTCATCGGAACTAAATGTGTGTACCAAATTTCAGATCAATCTGACAACAGGAAGGTACTTAAATTTCAATTTCTAATTTTGACCCAAATAAACAAACAAATAAATAAATACCGTACGGGTCGAGCTAAATAAAACCGTTTAAAAAGGCTGAAATAGTAATAATCAAAAAAATATTTTTTTATTTGTTTTTTAATATTTCTGAAACCATCAAAACATATTGAATGCTATCTTAGGATTATGTAAAGTGATCAGAAAGGAAGCGAAAAATGCAATAATATACAGGGTGTTCCATTTAAAAAATCATCCCGATCCACTCACACTTTTTTCAAGGCTACCCTGTAGAAGTTAAAATATCTCGTGCATACTTTAGGTTTGCACTTAAATAAAATTTCCAAAATTTTTATTCTACAGTATGTCCCCGGATTATCTTTACAAGAGGAAATTTTTTTTATTATTGACTTTATGAAAAAAATGCTATATCCATAAAAATTTTGCTTGTTCTAAAATTTTAATGGATAATCCCGTTTATATTTCTCCAAATTTCCATACCGCTTTAGAGAAAATTAAGAAAAACATGGAAATATGGTTGAATTTTCCTAAAAATCAAAAGGCGTTTCTATGGTAATATCAATTCGATTTCATTCTTTGATAGATGGTTATTAATTTTGATTAATGTCATATTCTTTGCTGTTGTTAAAGTATCATATTTTCCGATAACTATCGTCACCCGTTCCATAGCATTTAACTAAATAAATTTTGTGCTTTTTTAACATTTAAAAAAAATTACCTTTATTAAAATTCTATGAATAACAATCTACCAAAAAATGAAAACAAATTTATATTACCATAGAAACGCGTTTTGATTTTTTATCAACTTAGAAATCTTCATCACATCTTAGGAAAAACATAAACCACATTTTCATGATTTTCTTAATTTTCTTTAAAACGGTATGGGAATTTGGAAAAGTATAAACGGGATTGGCCATTTTAGAACAAGCAAAATTTTTTAGGAAAAATGCATTTTTCTCAAAATGTCAACAATAAAAAGGACATACTGTAGTAGCTACAGATGCCTGACGCACTATTGCCAGACCCTGTAGTATCTATATTAAATCGGTCTCTATCACATTCAAACAGATCTCAAATTCTTTCTATACGAACACATATAACAAAGAAAAAAAAACATCATACATCGGTACTTACGGAATTCGCTTAGACTTACCCTGAGCCGCGAAAAATCTATTATCTAATGGGGCGCTTTTGCAGCCGAACAACAAGGCTTTCCGGTTGAATTTTGCCTGTTCCTTGGTAGTGCGACCGCCATACCCCGGCACGTAGCGGTAGGGTGAGGGGGGAGCAAAGGCTCTTTGCACCACGCGGATTCCCATCCGCACGGTGGTGCGTTTGTGCAGTTTCTCGTCCATTCTTTCGGCTGTAACAAGAAAATTGTGAGATTAGTTCTGCGATGTGGTATTTTCGATGTGTTATTGAAACAGTTCAGTTTTCACAACGGGATCTACCGATTAAAAATATTTTCAATATGACGGCACTTCCGGAAATAGCGGAAGTTTACAGCAACTTTCTTATTTTAAATGGGTACCTATATTTTTAATTCCATACCTAAATTCTCCGTAAAATTTTATGAATTTTGATATTAAACACTCTATACCTAATATTAATCGTTTTTGAGAAAACAATATTTGAAAATTTTGGACGAAAAAAACTGCCTGTAAACAGGAATTGTATAACCTAAACGTCAAATTTAGTGATTACCACCATGGTACAAAGAAAACAAGGTATGCTCGATAGCGGTTCCAATTTCGTTCAGTTCGCGCATACCACCTGTGACGTCACTAGGAAAATAAGGAATAAATGAAAAATAAAGAAAGTTGACAGGAGATATGCATTTTTTGTATTTTTTAGGGTTATGGTTAAGAATTGTTTATTTTTCTGACTTTTTAGTTCGTTTAATTTAATAATCACTAAAACCGGCAGTTCCAAAAATATATTTAAAAATAAAAGACAAAAATCCAAAATATTAATTATCTATTAACATGGATTTGGACGATAATAGGTAGGAATACTAAATTTATTTCTATATTCGGTATAAAATTGTTTATTAGGTTTTTAGTTTGCGATGTTTATGGTAAATAATTTTGATGTTCATTGTCTCTGAATTCACGTGAGGACAGAGATGAGGATATCTATGGAAAAGTAACCACAAGAGGAATTCTTACATCATTTAAAAAATGTTGGGAAGTTGATTGTTTCCCATCGAAAAGTAGAAAATGCCAATGCAAATTTATTATAATTAGTGGAAGTATAATTCCAAGGGTGAAATTTATTCTAATTAGTGACCTGTGCTTCTTTTTATATGTCGATGTTTCAGTTTTTGAGAACAAATCGGTTGAACGAAACCCAAAATTTAGAGGAAGTATTTGCATACCCAGAATATTCACATCAAGGATTATAGCTCAAATTTCCTTTAATGATAGGCAATTATTCAATACAAATTAACTGTTTAAGTGACTGAAATATTAAATAGTTTACAATATGGTATATCACTGTAAAAATATATTACTTTTAGGTACAATTAGGGCCTGATACATTTCAAAAAGTAGAATATTATTTTATAATAAATGAGGTATTGTACCAACAATCAATTTATTAATTATTAAAAAATAACAGAATAAATTGTTCTTTTTTTAATACTACAAAAATAAATTATAGAATACAACAGTATTTAAAAAATTAAATAAAAAAGTTTTATCCCGGCCGAGATTCCAACTCCGGTCTCTCGCTTCCTAGCCTGACTCACAAAACTACTTACATTATTATTAGTTTAATTTTGAAACAACCCTTTCCAGCTCTAAACCCCCCAATTCAATAGCCAGATAAACGTAAATTTCCGAAATTAATGGTTGAAATTTGAAGGCGCGACAGACAGGAGACCAGATAGAGGCACCGCCAGCCGCACCGTCGGGGAATATATTAAATGTCAATTTGTGCTAAGATATTGGCCTCGAGAGCTCGGGAATATGCATGAGCCCCATTCGGACCACTCCGAATATTGAAATTTGTTGTTGAGGTACGGCCAATCCGTTTGCCGGGTGCAGCTTATGAACGAATTCTTGAAATCCAATTCGATTAAAGGCCCGTTTACATTCTATTTTGCCGCATTTACATTGCCCGTACCTTATGTAAATCTCGACTCATATACGTAGATTAAATTTATCCTGTTTGTTTTCGTAGTGCTTGCGAATAGTAGAAAGTATTTTCCAGATTTATACGTATCTGTCATGTAATATATATTTAAATTTTACTGAAAATTTATTAATAAAATGAACTATACAGGATGAGTTTTAAATAAGTGCAGATACTTTGAGGCGTAGTATATTTCGACTCCAAAAACGCGATTATGAGAACATATAGGTAGTAGATTAAACTTACAAGAAAGAAAACCGAGAGAAGATCCAGTGGTTCTCAAAATTTAAGCAAAAAATGTTTAAAAGAACTCAGTTATTTTGGACTTAATTGAAAAACGGTAAAGAGAAAATATATGTTTCTTTAATCGAGATTTACAAGCCCTGAAAATATTTGTACTTCTTTAAGACTAACCCTGTATATTGGGCTCTTTCACAAAAAATAAAATACCCAATTCAAGGACAAAATCTGAAATAGAAGACTATTTTCAGTATATTTATCCAAAAAAAAATATTTCCATGACATTGAATAATTTTTTTATAGGCCCTCAAAATTGCTTTAATTTGAAATAATTTTAAAGTGCGTATGAAAAATACGCCCAATCACATTGCAGAACCGTGCTCGTGCGCCAGCCAACAACTGGCAACATTGCGATTTGATTTGACCAGCACCACCTCAAATTAAGGCTAATCAACATGATATGGGCAAGGCAAATATGGCGGCGAAGGCAGCGCATTATTAAATTGTTTACCTTTAAACTGAAAAGCCGGTAGTGGTTTCTCGTTCCGATTACATACCAGAAATAATTAATTAATTATCTCTAGTTTGTTGTGCTTCTACAACACGTTAGTTCTTAGTGTTCAGTGCATGGTGTGATCAGAAAATTGTGATGAAATAACAGTGTAACAAAAATCCAAACCAGACATTCCACATAGGGAACTTCAAACTTTTGTGCTTGTCGTACTCCGCTATTATTAATTATTTTAAGGTAAGAACTAGAAGTATTTATTAAGATATTACACCTAAATGAGTAAAAAGCCTTCGCGGCCAGTCTGCATAGTACTTTATAATGGTTACTTACAATAATCAAAAGATAGCTATTAAAGGGTAGGTATTAACATTTTATTGCAGCATGCCTTTTACATGCTCTGTTCCAAATTGTCACGGGAATTATAGAGGGGGTCCCAAGATTTCTGCTTTTATTTCTGCTATTCCCCAAAAATGACGAGCTTCGTAAAAAATGGTTGACAGCTATTAAAATAGATAATTTCACTCCTACTAGTAGTTCTCGGGTAAGAAGTGCATTAAATATGCCTCAAAAAGGCCAAAGGCCAAAGCCTCTGTTACCCTAGTGAGGATGTAGTTATGGCTCCTACTCATGTATAAACAATACTCCCTGTATATTAAAAAATTGGTGAAATATTACGTAATCTAACCCGACATTTGTGTGAAAAATGTCTATTTGGAAATAAAACAGGTTTTAAAATACGCGCCATATAAAGCACTTCTATCTCCGCCATATTGGAAAAGGTTGAATGGCCTTGTGTGGATGTGGTGGTGGATCAGCATGGTGGCCCGGCCGCGGCCGTGTTGCCGCTTCTCAACATGCCAGGTGTGACGTATTAAAAATAAAGTGGGGATTTTTATTCTGGGCTTTTTTGTTTTTATTTATTTTCTTAAGAACGACTTCAAATTTTTCGAAAGTGAGATAGCAGAAAATTCTAGAATTAATTGCTTTATTCAATTATGCTAATTCCAAAATATAGTGAAAGAGCCCATTCAAAAATTCTATTATTCACATATCATTGCGACTGGTACTCGTATTGCAGTGACATACATATCTTTTTTATTTTTTTCAGAGAATAAAACGAGATTTGGTATTTTAGTATATGACATAAATTAGGATTGATTGACGTGTTCAATTGTTTTTGGTAACTTCCTGTTTCACCGGAAATTGTTATATCTTTTGATCTTTAAATGGAACCCTCGGTATTTTTTACTTTATTTGATAGAAAATGACACTTTTGTATTTTAAATTTCAATCTGTAGTGCCATGGCTATGTTAAAAACAATAATTTTTAATCAAGGAGCCTTGGAAAAATAGACTTGATCGTCTAATGTTTTTGGTGTCTTATCCTGATCGATTAAAAGATGCCCAAATCCTATTTTTAATCATATCTCAATTTGTTCAAATGGAACGAGGGTGGCTCATTAGCATACTTGGAAAAAGCATCCGGCTGTCATTTTATATCGAACAAAGTAAAAAAAATAACGAGAATGCAATTTAAAAATCAAAATTAGTAGTAATTTCCGGTTAAACAGGAAGTGACCGAAAACAATTGAATACGTCAATCAGTCCTAATTTCAGTCATATACTAACATACCAAATCTCGTTTTTTTATCTAAAAAAATAGAAAAGTTATAGGGGTGAGTCACTTTTGAGACGCACCCGGTATAACAAAAAAATCAGTGGTAAAAATATTCGATTCTTAAAACTCTTAAAAGTATTTCTCTCATTTCAAAGCTGTATCGATATGTGAATGTGTTCGACACTGACATGATTTCAAAACATTCGTGGTGTTGATGGAGACTACGAAAACTTTGTAATACTCTGTAAATATTTATTTTAGTTTAACAGATATTTAGAAAGTAAATATTATCGAAACAAAATAGCCCCATCTACAATTTCCTCATATATTTGGATTCCGTTGCTGGTTTATAAATTTTAAATTCTGGTTTATGTTGAAAGACAACGAAGTAAAGAACTGTGAATCATATATTAACGCTACTTATGTGTATTTGTGCAGTGTCGTGTATTAGTAGCGTAGCCACTAGTCTAGGGAATTTCAAATTAATTTTACTTGACTTTGCCAGCGTGTTTCTAAATTACACGAAGTTTTTTTATCACTTTACTGGTAATTTATTAACATCACCGTTAATCTATGCCCTTTTATGTATCTAAAACGTTAATGTAGATAATTTGAAATTAATTACAATGTCTACGTTTCTACTAAACTAGCGTGTCTCTCGAATATACAGGGTTGTTCACCACATACGACACGGAGTATTGTATACAGATTTACTTTTTTTGTATATAGATTTTTACAGATTGTAAGTTTTGGGTTAGTTGAAGGACTATTAGAGCTAGAGTGTGCCAAATAAATAAAAAATATCAAAGTTGTATTTTTTTTAATGGAACACCCTGTATATTATTACATTTTTAGTTTC